CGTCGGGGACCGCTGACTCTGCAACCGGGGAGGCGGCTCCGTGCTGCTTCGGAGGCCCTCTGGGACGCACGGAGCTGGAAAATGAATAGGCCGGGCGGCCCAGGTCCCACACCAAGTTCTCGGGTCAACCAACACAGGCTTCTGCCGCCAGCGGTCAGCACCTGCAGCGGAGGGCGTCCACGGCGGGATTGGATACCGGGAAGAGGTTGACTGTATAATATTCATCATATAGAAAGTGAACACCTCACAGGCAACCTGTTTCAGGTACCACGGAGCAGGGTGAACTCCAGAAGGAGGCTTCTTCCTCACAGACGGCCTGCAACCCACCCGCCCGCCCCAGGGCCATGGGACACAGTCGCACATGCTGGGCCCTCCGCAGGCCGGCGGGCGTGCAGGACGCATGCGAGGCGGGAGCTGGTACTGAAGAGAGATCGACCGTGTATTGTGCGTCATAATGGATGCGAACGCCCACGGGCAACCTCTCCTCGGGTAGCACACAGAGCAGCGTGCACAGCAAGCAGCCCTCGGGGTTTCCCTGCCGTGGGGTCTCCCAGGCACTGGGGTGAGAGGGGAAGCAGCCGGGACACCCCTCCCAAGTGCAGGCCATGCACATGGTCCCCCTGGAAGGACACCCTGGCGAGGGGCAGGTGCCCACTCCAACAGGGAGGCCCCCAGGGAGCCCTGTAACTAATGGCATTGGGCGTGGAAAACAGACTGCACACGCATCATTAGGCACACATCAAGCGAACGCTTCACGATCAGCCTCCCCAGCGCAAGCCCCGCTTCCCCAAGGTCAAGGAGCCCTCCAGGAAGCTCTGCCGGGACGGTTTAGGTGCTGAGAGTCAGTGGAGAGGATGACGGACGTCATACCCGGAGCCCATGCACTCACATACCCTGGAGGTGGCCAGCCTCAGGCCCGGCTGCACGTGAGTCGTGGGCGGTACCGAAAACAGGCCATCTGTGTTATATTCGTCATTAATAAAGCGAACTCATCACAGACAACCTCTCCTCAAGTACCCAAAGTGACGCCGACTCAGGGACTGTGGCCGCTGCAGCAACGACGGTCACCTCCCGGAACGGTCCTGAGGGCGGATCAGACAGCACAGGTGAGACGGCACAGGACAGGCAGTCGGGCCCTGCCCCACCCGGCCTCCGTGAGAGGCCTCCCTCTCTACCTGCTGGGGCAGTGACACGGAAGGCCCCAGCCCTCTCCCGCCCCCACAAGGCCTTCATCTCCAAGAGGTCCTCCAAGGTGAGATGTGATACTGAGAAAAGATCAACCATGTATTATTCGAAGTCAATAAAGCGAATATAACACGGTCGATCTCCCTTCAAGTACCAGGACAGGTGCTGAGCGGAGGGGCAGCGGCTCTGCCCGGCCCGCGGCCCGCAGGCTGCAGTGGATACGGACGGCTAGTGGACCAGGTGAAGTACATTAGAAACAATTACTTTCCAACTGGTCGACCACCCATCCTGTACCCCAGAGCGGCGCCGACACCGACCGACGTTCTTCCCCGAAGACGCCTCTCTGGTGCAATTTGATACCGAAAAGGGGTTCACCGAGCAACATTCGTCGTCCAGATGCAAAGTTGCTCGGGTAACCTCTCCCCGAGTACCATGGAGAGGCTCAGACGCTTGGACTAAGACGGATGCTTCAAAGTGGCTGTGCTTCCAGAAGATTCTCCCCCTCCCCCAGGGGTAGCTTGAGCACTGGGCATTCGCGGACTGGAACCCCGCCCTCTACGAGGATCCCCAAAGCCAAAGCCGACGGTCTATCGTCTCCCCGGAAAGAGGCGAAGGTAGAGGCCCTCTCCCGGAAGTGACGCAGGAGGCCTAGGCGGGACCCGGAAGTGAAGCCGGAGACCGAAGCAGAACCCGGAAGTGACGCCGGAGACCCAGGCGGGACCCGGAAGTGACGCAGGAGACCCAGGCGGGACTCCCGCTGAAAAGCGGTGCCCGGACGGACGCCCGCAGGACGGAGGGGTCCTCTCTGCCCAACTCTCCCCCAAAGGCTAGCGAGGGGGTCGGACCCTGCTCGTGCCCAGCTCGTCAGGGGCGACTCCAGGGCCCCCACCGGGCACAGAGACCCGCCCGGGACGCTAACATCGGGAGCCGCGCTCTGCGCCGTGCGGCCGTCACGCTTGCAATCCCACAGGCGTCGCCACCCCAGAATCGTTCAAAGGGTCTTTTAACACAAAAACGGGTTGACCCTTTGATTAGCTTCATAAACAAAGCGACCGAAACACCGAAAACGAAGGGGGAGAGAAGAGAAAGCGAAAAGGCGAGGGAACTTAAGATGACCTCCCTTCGAAAAACGGCATAGCAGCCGAGATACCAGAAGCCCAGCCTTCCCCAGAGTTGACATCGCGACCGCCATGTGCCCCAAATAACGGAGTGGCCAGCGAGGGTCGGAGAGCAGACGGTGTGTGCCACAAGCAGAGTCGGGATTCTGCGCCCACCTCCCACTCTGCGAACTTTGCAGTGGGACCGACGGCAGAACCCCTTCCCTGACGTGGGCGTGAGCTCAGAACGCTCTCCAGGTCTTCGGTGTGACTGCAGCTGCAGCGAGAGGCCAGCCTCCTCCGGTCGGGGCTCCAGAAGGAAAACAGCCCCATGCCCCGACTCCACCCACTACCACTCTCCCCAACCC